ACACTCACACAACAGATTTTATGATACAAATAACTTCTATAACTTCCACAATATGTTGGAATTGTTAATACTTATGTTCTCATGACTCTGCTTTCTAGTAGCGGAGGCTTGAAAGTTTAGTATTTTATGATCAGTTCAGAAAATATTGAGGATCCTTTCAAGGTCAAGTTGGCAGATTTATGCACTAGGAAATGGTAAAGCACGTTCAATGTGGCAGCACATAAGTGGTCAGGTTTCATTTTTAAGTTCAGAGCAATCTGGTCTTATTGATTGGTCAATGTATGTTATCTAATTCCTGTGTTATGAATTCTTTTTATCATCTTTTTCCTTTTTCGTTTATGTTTATATTGGTTTTTATCTATATTTGCAGTTTTCACAGTGCTTTATGTTAGAATTTTTGGTTCACAATCCTTGTTTTGATTATTGTTTTTGTTTCTTTACTTAGCATTAATTATATATATTTCTTTCATTTTCTACAGTTTTGAAGGTGTTGTTGCTGATTCTCTTGAAGCAAAAGAAGCCATCTCAAGGTATCTTCTATATCTAGCTTGCTGATAATCTCACATGTACAGATACTTTCTGAACATTGCAAACACCTCTATATGTTTGGTTTTAGTTTGTGATGCTATGATTAGTGAGTTTCATATCTGTGCAGCCTTATGGAGAAGCCCTTTGATGTGGTACCACTTATATGGAAAATTCAAGAAACTCTGGCAAAACGTCTTCCTGTCTATGAGATGATTGACTTGGAGCATCTTATTTCTAATTGGAAAAGTGCTTTTATCAGGGCCAATGTTATTGTGTTCCCTGATCTTACTCTACTGGTAAATCTGACATTCTGTCTACTCTGCAACATAGAATTTCTAGAAGGAATTGTATTAGACATCTTATGAGGTTTCTCAATTTCTATTCCTTCCCGTAGTAGATGTTATATAGTATGCTAGACACTGGACAATTCCTTGTAATTCCTGGATCCCTGGTACAGAAAGTTATAGTAAGACCCATGCAAAACATCAACTACGAAAGGACAATGGGTTCAGTAAGGATGATACGGTGGTTCTAGTTGTTGGAAGTTCTTTCTTCCATCATGAGTTATCATGGGAGTATGCTGTTGCAATGCACACTATTGGACCTCTCCTTTTGAGATATGCAAGGAGAAATGATGCAAGAGGGTCATTTAAATTTATTTTCTTAAATGGTAACTCCACTGATGGATATAATGATGCTTTACAGGTAGTTGACTGTTGATAGGCGCATAATATATATATATATATATATATATATTTACACATATATATATTATATGCTTACTCATAAGCTCCCTATATCTTTCCCTCATGCTTATTCATGCCCTCATTTTGATTTGAAAGAAGTTCAATACCTAAAGTAGTGTGATTAATTTGAAAAAGGAAACAATACATTAAAATGGTAATGAAGAAATATGCCCTGTCTTATTGCATGGATTAAGATAAGGGATTTCATGATTTCATTATCATCATTTTCTTCATGAATTATACCTGATTTTGCTATTTAGTTGGGATATCCAACTTAAGCCATCAAGTTGTAATTTGTTTCTTCCACTTAATTTAGATAAGTCTTTTTCAGTTTCAAACTTATAAATTGTAGTATGGCCCAACTTTTATTTTTTCAATCAGTTTATATATTGCTAGAAGGAAGGATAGAGGCTTAAAGCTATTAATAAGACTGCAAACCCTGGAGAGAAAACATAAGAAGCTGTCATGTAATTTTCGTTTTGTCTATTCAATCTTATTGATGTGTTCAGAACACTGCATTGAGGTTTTTTTACTGGCTTATTGTTATTTCCCTCTAAGATTGATGTTATTCGTTGTGCTTCTATGCAGCAAATTGTATCACAGCTAGGACTTAGTCCGACTCTGTTAGGCATTATGGCTTGGATGGTGATGCCAATGGAGTCTTATTAATGGGTGATATTGTTTTATATGGTTCCTCAAAAGAAGAACAGGGTTTTCCTCCATTAATTATCAGAGCCATGACCTTTGGAATCCCTGTCATCACGCCTGATTTTCCTATCATGAAAAAATATGTAGATTCATTTGAATTGTTTTCCTCGTAGTTCATAATTCCTGATTTGTGGTGTGTGTCAAAGAGGGTGAGATATGAACAGAGAAAACGGGGAGAGGACTTTCTATTCTGTATAATATTTTAAGCTGTCTTATATGACAGGTGGTTGATGGACCCGTGTTTTTTTTCCCAAAACATCACCCTGATGCTTTATTGAGGGCTTTCTTACTTTTGATTTCGAATGGCAGACTCTCTCAATTTGCTCAAACGGTTGCATCTTCCGGAAGACTGCTTGCTAAGAACATTCTGGCATCTGAATGCATAACTGGTTATGCAAGCCTTCTGGAGAATTTACTCAATTTCCCATCAGATGTCTTGCTTCCAGCTGCTGTTTCTGAACTTCAGCGAGGATCAAGGGAATGAAAGCTTTTTAGGAAGGAAATAGAACTCAGAAACGGTGATATTTCCAGAAATTTTAGTGTTTTTTATGTCTTTGAAGAGTAATTTACCAAGCATTTCATTGACATGTCTGAGAATGAGACAGAGAATTAGGATCAGGATATCCCTACTGAGAATGACCTGGATATTGGGATGGAAATAGAGAACTTTGAAGACTATGAAGGACTTGAACTGGAGGAGGTATAATAATACTTCATAATTACAGCCCATTGTTTGGACTCTCCCCACCCTGCCTTTTTCTTCTCACGTTACTATATCCTTTTTTATTGTTTTTTAACATTCTCATGAATAAACTGTGATGTGAAAAAATGTTTTTCCCCCTTAAATCTATACGTTAATGAAAGAATGGAGAGAAATCCTGGTGTATGGGATAAGATACATCGAAATGTTCGGAGATCTGAGAAACTGAAGTTTGAGGCAAATGAAAGAGATGAGGAAGAGCTAGTAAGGACAGGTCAACCTGTATGCATCTATCAGATCTATAATGGGGCTGGGGCCTGGCTATTCTTGCACTATGGATCTTTGTACCGTGGGCTAAGTCTTGTGAGTTTTCCTAATCCATATTTGACATTTTATCTTTTTATCAATCTTTGTTACACATCTTCATGTCTTTTTCATCACTTTCGTCATAAGTACTTTTGTGATTTTATGATCTGGAATATTTATATTAAACTATGATGAAGTGTTGATTTGATGAAGAGAAACCATGGTGACGAAAGTATTGTCTAAACAATTTAATTGTATGGTTCTTGACAAAAATGCTTTGAATCTTTTTTTAGTATTTTGTGGGTAGCTTGTGTTTTCTTGCAAGGGGTGGATGGAAGCATACTTGCTCAAGAGTCTGACATGCAAAATTTGCAATGGGATAAACTTTGTACAGATCATTGCTTCCCCACCTCTTTTCTACCTGTAGTTTACTTGTTTATTTATAACTGATTTCTTGTATTTGCTGTAGTGATCCTTAGTCTTTTTTCCCCTTGTAGAGGAGCTTTCCTTTTTTATTTGCTTGGCTACTGAAAAATGATGCATGTGAAATAAGTTTGTTTCTACATGCTGTAACTATTCATTTTATATGCCAGTCTAAAAGAGGTAGGAGGTTGAGATCAGATGATGTGGATGCAGTTGGCTGACTTCTGGTTTTGAATGACACTTACTATAGGGATTTATTATGTGAAGTTGGAGGAATGTTCTTTATTGCAAATAGGGTGGATAACATTCACAACAGACCTTGGATTGGTTTTCAGTCATGGCACGCTGCTGGTAGGAAGCTATTCCTTATATTGATATTTGATGTGGTGTTCAATTTTTCAAAATTAGCTTGAGTTCAGAACCAATTTCTTGTTTTCAAATTTCTTACTGTTATTTTGATTGGTTCAAGGGGTGATGTGGGGTGTTAAGGGATGGTGATAAATGAAGGTGAACCAAACCCCTCTAATCCCCCATTATTCTCATTTTTTTTAATCCCCTCAAATCAAGGGGATTTGAGAGGAGAGTATTCTGCTTGATGATTTCCCCTTTAAGTATCAGTATTTATTGTAATAACTATCTTAAGGTGCTATGATCATGGTGTAAAACTCATACTTTACATTCTGCGCTCAAATAAATTAAGAAATAGTTGTTTACTCTCCTGTACTGTCAGCTTTCAATCTGTTTTCTCTCTTTTACCTTCAAACCTTCCCGCATACTCTTAGTGTTTAAAGGAGAAAAAGGAAAAAGTTCCCAAAGCTAAAGAGATTCATTTTTGCTGCTGTTCTGGTATCTTTTGCTTCAAGTCTAAAAGTATCAATTGTTAGATTTGGCAATTATTGGCTGCTTAGTGTTTTTTTAAAATAGGTTTAATTGTCCACAAAAGCTGAAAAAGTTCTAGAAGAAACAATACAAGTAAAGGAGATGTAGTGTACTTTTGGGCATGCCTTGATGATGATGTTGGAGGTGCAGGAACAATGACGCGCTCACATTTTGGTCAATGTGTGATATGTTAAATGCTGGACGCTGCGTGTTTGTTTTACTACATATCAGTTCGATATATGATTAAGCATAGTAGGTGATGGAGTCATTTCTTATGCCTTGCTGATCCCAGGATTTGCTCTTTGATTTTCTACAAGTTGAGTGAGGGTCTTTTACTTGCCATTTTGTCATGTTATAGATAATACAGATTTCTCTTCCTACATTTAGTTGCTTTCTCCCTAGTTCCTTCTTCCTGTTAAGATACTGTTTGAATCAAAGTTGTCAATAATTTTTTGGAAGCCATATGATACCATGTTGATTACTGTTATAAATATGGGACCGAAGGAAAACATCATTCTATTGTTATGTTTACATGGCAAAAGCTGCATTTTTCCTGCTCCATGACAACTTTTAGTAAGTAAAAAACAAGATAGTGGGGGGTTGTGAAGAGGCCATCCTTGGCAGTGATTTGGGCCTAATTCTTAGCATCTTTTGTCAGGTGTTAGGGCTTGTTTGATCAGAGTTCAATATTTCTTGTTTATGAACTGGGCCAAGATCAGGTTCCATAGGTGAGAAGAAGCTCATTGGTCATTGGCTGGGATTTACTTCAATTCTGTTCTATTCAAAGCTCAACATTTGTTGTTCATAAACCTGGGAGTTAGGTTTAATAGGCTAAGAGGTGACCATCTGCTTGCTAAAATTTTAAACAAAATATTTTCCAAGCCTGGGTCTGATAGGGTCTAATAGGTTAGAGGTTGAGTTAAGTGGACATGCAACTGCTGCTTTGTGATTTAACTTGCAATAGATAGGTGTACATATCAGATTAATTTTTATTACTATATGAAAAGTAATTATTAGATTAATTTATCCAAACTGTTGCTTAGAAGATTCCTTAAAATGCCTGTAGAACTGCTTTTGAAAACACCTTCAGCAAGATGTATTTCTTGCCATCAGATATGGAAGCTCTTCCTCCCATGCCCAATGACGATGGTCACTGGTCTGCCTGGGTGGTGCCAACCACTTCCTTTTTGGAGTTTGTAATGTTTTCACGGTAATTTACCAAGTCTATTACTCATTTTATTGCATCTTATCTCTCTCTTTCTCAATATCCTTTTAGAGCACAGTACAGTAGATGACGACTGGAAACTTATAATGATTGGACTGCAGGATGTTTGTTGATTCTCTTGATGCTTTGCATTCCAATTCTATTGAGGTCAATATGTGTTTGTTGGGTTCCTCGGATCTTGAGGTAAGCTGTGTGGTTCCTGTAGCATCTGTAGGTTCCATTTAGAGTCGAATCATAGCATTCCTCGTCTAGGTTTATTTAATTATGGACAGAAAAAACAATGTTTCTGTCGGCTATTGGAACTTTTGGTCAATGTCTGGGCTTACCATAGTTGGCGGAGGATGGTCTACATTGAGCCACGCTCTGGTTTGCTCGAAGAGCAACATCCAGTTGAACAACGAAAAGAATTTGTGGGGTAGATATTTTAACTTAACATTATTAAAGAGCATGGATGAAGATCTAGCAGAGGCTGCAGATGATGATGACGGGCCAAGGAAGATGTGGTTGTGGCCATTGACAGGGGAAGTGCATTGGCAAGGAATTTATGAGGGAGAGGGAAGAAAGATACAGGGTGAAGATGGACAAAAAGAGGAAAACAAAGGAAAATTATTGGAAAGGATGAGGAATGGGAACAGGCAGAGACCACTTGGATTATAGGATACCTAGAACCTAAATTAGATGACCATATTCTAACAACTTAGAAGCACCCGTCTCCTAACTTAGCTCCTGGACAAAATGGAAAGTTCCATGGTTTTTCTTGTGGAAGGATTCCAATTTTCAAGAGGTCCGCTGATTGAACGCAAGCAAGTTATTGCTTAAACAAGCTAATCCATTGCTACAACCAATTACATACAATCATTTCTTTGACATGAGAATATCACTATTTCCTATTTAATATTGCTTAAACAACCATTTCTTTGACATGAGAATTTTACTATTTCCTCCGTAATATTTCTTAAAATAATTTGCATTAACCGATTAAGTTGCTCTCACGAGTCAAATAACATAAAAAATTAAATAAAATATTAATAACAAATATGTAATTAGGGATGTTTTTATCATTTAATAATAGTTAATAAAACAATCATTGAGAAAATTATCCACTTTTAGAAAAACGAGCATATTATTTATAATTTTTTTTATTATAATGTTACAATTATTCAATTATAAAAAAAATTATGTAAAAATTTATCATTTATAAATATAAAGATTATTTAAAATTATGATATATCTTACACGATCTTAAATTGTTATTAATTAATAGTACAACAATTATCGTAAAAGAAATGCTATCTTTAAAAAAAAATTTCTTATATCTTATATTGAGAAAAACTATCAACGTAACTTATTTAAAAAATAAATTCAAGTATATCAAATTTTAATATTATATAAATCAATTAAATTAATAAATTAAATGAGTTTAACCCGATTCATAAAAAAATTAAAATTTTTATACATAAAAATTTAAGTTGAGAAGAAATTTTTTCATTTTAAATTAAGACAAATTCATATAAAATATTTTCATAAAATTTATAGATCATTTATTAAAAAAAAAAAAAAACCCACCGATATTAACATTTGAACCCGGCAAGTGTTCCAACTCTATCAAGTCAACCGGGTGGCTAGAAGAACATTATAGTCTATCTCTATCCCATCACCTCCTAGTGACCTATTGGAATACAGTTTACAGCTGTTTGTTTACTGCCTCGATTTATTTACAGCAATACTTGTAGGGTTTTAAAACATTTCTCCAAACCCCCCAACTCAGACTATTGAAAACAAAAAAACAAAAGCCCAATCTCTTATTCTATCTATCCTCAGGTAAACACTCTTTCTCTCTTCATTTCCTTACTTTTCTGCTTCCTTTTTTAATTTTTTTTTCAGGCTGATCTTTGGATTTCAATTCCACCTGTCAATTTTGATTATCTTGTTAGCTTTACATGTTGGGTTTTTTTTTTTTTCTTTTTGGCCCATGCACTTTAGAAAAATGGGTTATTTTTGTTATTGGTTTTGAGTGTTTGGAGACTTCTTGTTGTTGCTTTTATGGGACTTGGGTTCTTAGTTCCTTGATTGAAATAGTGTTTTTTTTTTTCCTCTGTAAAGTTGGTTTTGCAATGTCTAATGCTTGAAATGAAGTAGGTCTTAAGTTTAAATATTGGGAAGTGACTGCTGCATTTGGGGTTCAATTTTGAAATTTGGATTTTTTAAAAAATTCTCCAGCTGAAAAATAAAAACTTTGAACTGAATTAAACCTGGCTTCAATGCTCAAGCTGTTAGCTTTGCTTGGTTGAGTAAGGCGCCATTTCTTTTTTTTTTTTTTTTTCACTTTTGGAATAGAAACTAAGTGATTATTACTATGTTTGAAGAATTAAAAACTAAAATTGTAATTTCTTGGAAAACAAAGCTACTAATTTTTCTTTAATTTAGAGTAATTGTTATTGTTTATTTTTAATCAATTATGAATTTGCTTTTACTTTTTAGCACTTTTAGTAACAAAGTGCTAAAAACAAATAACAAAATGTGAGTAACACCTGAGCCTAAATTCTAATTTTCTGGAACTAGAAAATTAAAAAAAAAGAAAACTTTATATAAAAAGTTGGATGATGTTGATGTTAATATGTCAATATTCAGGAACTTTTGCAGTTTTTTAATAGCTGTTTTGACTTGGAACTGCCACTTTTGAAAATTTTAGAATTTCTCATACTGGGTTGAGAAATGTGCACAGCCTCCAAGCTTTTTTCTTGTTAAATTCTCCCACCATCTATAGATAGATAGTGCAGTTTGTTGCTTATCTTTTTTTTTTTTTCATTTTACTGCAAAGAGGTTCCCTTCTGTTATGTCATTGTTTTGAGATAAAGGTGGAGCAGTGGAGCTACTTCGCAAAGGTAACAATAGGAATCAAAACACTAAAGAAGATATTTATCAAGTTCTAAAATGTGTCTAGAAAGGAAGTTGATGAAGGATGTAAAGAAGTGCTTGAAGATTATATTATTTAAGATATTTGGTTAGCTACTTTTTTTTGGCTACTTTTAATACACACTTATGTGTTGTGTGTTTACATATGTAAGATTATTTTAGGTTATTTAGGATATGTTGTATCAATTAGCATTTTGCTTATTTTCTAAGTATTTGGGTATTAGAGCTACATTTGGTGTTTTCGAGTTTATATTAGGGTTTAAGAGTTAGCTTTTGAGTACCAATGTTATTTTCAGTTTCTACTAGCTGTAAATATTGCTTTTGATAATTTGAGAATTAATATTAAGACTTGATTATTTAGATTTGATATTGTAGAATTTTGATTTAGTTTTTCAATTTTTTCTTGAATGTTTGTTTGAATATTATTTGTTCTATGACAGAAAAGAAACAAACAGGGAGCTGCCATACCTAATGCAGATACCCACTCTTTCACAAAAATATTTGGAGGCATCCTGCAAATTAGTTACTACTAGTTATAGGCTCTTTGTTCAATAATCTAGCTAATATAATACATCATTCAAAGCCTATTCTGGTGCATATGAGATGCCATGCATATAGCTAAGCTGACTGGTCAGAGATAGATTCTACCTTTTCAAGGTTCTTTGAAGCAGCCAATTTACAAAAGGAAGGTTCTGGTTAAGTTTTGGGAGTAAGTACTGGATTAGTAATGCTCTTGCAAGCTGGTTTGGGGGAGGGAAATGAGGTTAAGAAACATTCACTAAATGCAATACCATATATTGCATCCAATAACTAACCAGTGTTTCATAACGCTTCCTACCCTCTTTTTTTTTCATCTTTTCTTCTCAAGGGTGGGGAGGAGGGGTTTTGGTGGTTTGGAGGGCTGGGGTTACTTTGGGATATTACAGGAATCAGATTATCATTCTTTCTTGTGTTTCTTTTTTGTGCAAATTATCATCCCCATTTTTTCTTTTGTGTTATCATTTGTCTATATCTAGAATGAATGAATGCATAAACCAGGTTTTTGGAAGGTTGGCCTTTTGTAACTTAATTGCCATTTTCCGAATCCTTGAGTCATCTTATCATTATTTAAAGTGGAAAATAAGATATGATCATTGTGCATCTGCTACTAACCAGGTGACTGTTCACTATGCCAATTCGTGGACCACATAATATGAGCTTCAGTATGAAAGGGATTATGTTTTATGGATTAGACTTTTCTGATCTTCATTCTATATCATGTAGGTGTATATGCTGTAAGCTTGTAAACCTTCTTATCCTCATGCATGCTATAAAAGGTGGATGGGTTGGGCAAACATTTGCCCTAGCTAAGTGCAATGAGTCCGGAGGGAAGAAGTCTCGGATTCGGCGTTCTAAGGAGGAAAGAAAGGCAATGGTTGAATCTTTTATAAATAAGTAATCTCACATGGTTCACCTTCCTTTTGTTTGCTACTATTGCTGAATCTAGTATATCTTAATAGTCTTTACCAGGACCAGTTGCATCTTATGTCATTCCAATCCCCTTCTATACCCCCTGCCATGGTAGTCATAATATAATTCTTCTGTATATAGTAGCATAATTTAGCGATACAAGTCTTTTGATTTTATCATCCTTGTAGTATCTAATTACTTAATTGCAGGATGGCTGTGATTGCTTAAAATATGAGTTATGAGCATCTTCTTGAGTATCAAATTATAATATTTGCTTGAAAACTGACTCTTATCACTGCTAACTTTAAGAAGGCAGAGAAAATCCTCTTAACTGGGCCTTTTATCACGACAATATAGAAACTAATTAGAAATGGCATTTATTTATTTGAAAACATTGATGTAACACATGTTTTTCCCATACTTATATTGGTAAAGTTTTATGTTCTATACATATGTAATGATAAATTTGATAGAACTGAATGAGGTTTTTATTAGCTTTTAGAAGGATAGTTTGCAACTGAAAATTCATTTTTAAATACCTAAATTTATTATATTTCTTTGAAGACTGTATTGTAAGACACATTTTGAATCCGAATATACTTTGTTTTATATAAGGATTTTTGTGCAAATGCAATATTTTCAAATATGGCAATATCTAAATCAACCAAACTTTCAACAGATTTAATAGTAAAACTTTGAAATGGTGGCATTTCATGAATATGTTGAAATGATCCTTTGCCTTTATTCTTGGTGGAGCATCATTTGTATTTCATTTAGTATGAAATGTTGAGTGGACTAGTTCTTTGGTGTTCCTTTTTTTAATATTATTTATTGTTATATTATTTTGTGGGTGCATTTCATTTAGTTCTATTGATGTAAATTTTTGACTTATAGGCTGATCACCTCTTTAATGAAGATGCTAAACTTTCTAGACTCCTTAGCCAAAATCTGAAGTGAGTTGCTATATTTCTGTACATTTTATTTGGTGAACTTGTTGCAGGTATCAGAAATCAAACAATGGAAACTTTCCATCTCTTAACCTCACCCACAAGGAAGTTGGTGGGTCTTTCTATATAGTAAGGGAGATTGTGCGAGAGATAATACAAGAAAATAGAGTTTTGGGTCCTGCTAAGTTGACTGAAGGGGAGCAGAACATAGATCAGCTCTTGGAGCAAAATCCACTTGGTTCAATTTCCACTGCACCTGAAACTCTTTTTCCCATACAATCAAATGGAAGTCCTTTTGTTCCTAGTCATCATGAAACTGATGAATCAGTTTCTGTTACTGATGGGCTTTCTATGGGATCTGAATATAAAAAGTTTGACAGTGAGCAAATTATTAATGGGAATCTTGTAGATGTGACCAATGGAACTGATAAAGCAGACATTGTAGAGTTGCAAGTAATTGAACCACTGGAAAGTGATAAAAGTGGGAAAGAACTGGCAGCAACCACATCTAAAGTCACTCAAATAACAGCAGAGATAGTAGTAGAGACATTTCCATTACGGCCTGTTGCTAAAACAACTGACATCATTGATGGAAGGTCTAGCGAAGTAAGGAAATTAGATGAAAATTTGGATAAAACAGAAAATGTGAAGGTGAATTTGAGTCTAGAAAATGGCAGTTCTAATTTAGATGATATGAATGCCTCTGAGGTTTCTATTTTGACAGATGAGAAAGAAGAGGAAAACAATGTGGATTTATTTTTGGAGAAGAACTCTGATGTAGCAGATAATAAAGTGGTGGAAAACATTTCAGATCCGCTATTAGAAAGCTCATATTGCTCTACCATGGAAAATGCCGTGAACGATACTAACAATGGTGCAGCGTTAGAGCTCTCTTGTAATGATGTTTTAACATCTGAAACAAATAAACAAAGCCAAGCAATTGTTGGACTGGTGAGTTTTTGTCCAAAACCTTTGTGCATGCCTATGTTTGACATCAAGCAAAAAAACATTGCTTAATATGCATGATTAACAGGTTTTGTCTAATAGTATTTGATTATTTTTTTGCATTTGCTATATTGACTAATTGTATGTTTGAAGGTAAATGAGGCCGAATAAATGGGGAAAAAGTTACTGGGAGTAGAGTGGTGGAAAGAGTAAAGAATCAATCTATTAGTACTGTGCCTTGCTATAGAATCCTTAAAATAAATTTGAAGGGTAAAAAAGGGTCACAAGCTGACATCATTACAAGGGAATACAATGCTGTCAAAACACACTCAAAAGTGTGTTTTGAGTATGTTTGGAAGGATTTGATTCACTTCCAAATCCTTTCTCCTCGTTTGATTCTCTTCCCAACCCTAACAAGTTTGTGCTCGAAACACACACAAACTCTAAGTTGAGCAAAACATTTTACACCTTTACTCTCCTTTAATCCCCCTCCGTCCATGTGTACTTTAAATTTTATGCTCTTCAATAAATGTATGTTTGTTGAAAAATGAAACGATGTTGCTTATAGTTTAACATGACCAAGATGCATAGATATGCACCTTTATTGAAAATAAAATGATGTTGCTAATAATTTAACATGATCAAGATGCATGCACATGCATTCCGCACATATTTTTGATGTCTTATGGGAGAAAATTTTTAAATCACCTTTATAGGTCACTCCATATATTTGTAGGTATCCAGTAACAATGATGTTGCTAATAATTTAACATGAACAAGATGCATGCACATGCATTCTTGCACATTTTTTGGTTGTCTTATCGGAGAAAACTTTTAAATCACCTTTATAGGTCACTCCATATATTTGTAGGCATGCAGTAACGGTGAAGCTAATAAATACCTGAAGTTCAGTTAGATTACCTGCTTGGTCCAGCATTTTTTATTTTTGTTACAAGGCGCATTGTTTATTTGCCTTTCTGCAGTTGTGATCCCTAATAAAAAATACTATGAGTTAGTATGAGAAAGTTAATGGCTTTCATTTAGGTTAAACTAATGATTCTGTTCCAATGAAAAAAATTCAAGTAGAGACCTTTGTAGCTAAACTATCTGGTGTCTTCTGCATTGTATACAGGCATTTTTTTCTTAATTATATTTTATTATATAATGGATAAACCATCTCATTTGGACAAATTGATCAATGAGAAATATTCTAATAGTGGATTGAATGAGAACCTTACTGGTATCTGAACTCAAAAGAATGTCCTATAAACTTATGGTCAATTAAAGTTAATCTATTTATCCTTGGAAATATTTTACAAGTTTTTTGCTTGATTCATTGTTCATTTGTTTTTCAGGCAATAAATGCTTCAAATGGCATCCACCCAAAAATTCATGGCACTCGCACTGGCAGCAGCAGTGGGGAGTCAACAACCCAAGAAGCTGTTGTGGCTGAAAGTAAAGTTGATGTGCAGCATGTCAACTCCAAGAAAGGAAGCAATAAAACATTAGACAGAATTAATCTGTAAGTATTCCTACTGTCTTTGCTCATAACACTTTTAAGTTGAATCAATCTCACTCACAGGTTTGAAAATTATATGGTTCCTTAGGATTGCATTGGTTTCTGTGGGCAGTGAATCGTGGGAAGGGGCATCAAAAAGTGCTGCAGAATCCAAAACTAACCCAATTTTGGCTATTTTCAAATTCTTTATAGCAGCCTTTGTGAAATTCTGGTCTGAATAAAAGTTTTGGTTTGTTTTTGAATTTGGAGAGTAATGCAAAATTTACTAGAGTTTTATTCACATTGAAGTCTGTGGGACTTTTTCTGTTGTAGTCCCAATTTCATTCAATTCAGCATGCTAAATGTTCCTGCAGTAATAAAGTACCGATCATGGCATTAAAAGAGTCTGGCAGGTGTATCGGCGGCTCATGTTGAATGTTGTGATTGGGAGCACTTATTATTCCATGTGTATATCTACTTGAGTTGAATGTTACCATGGGACACTTATTTCATGAACAGAGTTAGATACAACATCAAATGCGAGAAGAGTGGTATTGTTTATAGATCGTTAGATGTTCATTCGTTTTATTTGATGTGCCAGGTAAGCAGGATGACAAACATCAAATGCAAGGAAAAAAAGGGACTTAGATTTACTGAATCCCTGCTTTTGCATCCGAAAGCTTAGGATCCTCCTGTTTTCTGATAAAAGACACAATATACTTAGTACAAGGCAAGAGATTGGTAAAAAAGACGACATGCAATTTAATATTTAGCAGATGTGTCATCCCAGACAAATTCTGCGGCAATCGAACCAACATTTTAATATTTGCCAATCTGATATTAACTCAACTGACATGTCGTTTGTTGAGGGATTTAAGTGCGCGATATCTTCTGCAGACGAGTTAGTTTGTCATTCCAAGACATGCAATATATTTGAACAAAAAAAAAAAAAAAACCTTAACTTGGCCTTCACCACAAGCAACAACTTCACCCATCACAAGGTTATAAAAAAGGAAAGGCATCTTCATTCTTCACTCTTTTTTTCACAAATTTTCACCTAATACTTACACATGTACGGAAAATTTAATGTTAATAATTGTAGTTATCATCAATCTTTCCTCTTTTTAAACCAGAATGCTGCATATTTCATTAATTTATAACAGTTTTCATATCTGAAGTCATCATCGTCTTGTTTGTTTCTTCTTTTTTTACTGACAGTTTTGCAGTATAGCGGGGCATGTCAGGCAAGCCACACCATCATTTCTCTCTTACGATCGCTTGTTTGCATCAAGTATCCTATTTCTGCATGCCATATCAAACTTTTGTCCTTTAAACAGTGTCGTTCATTTGCCAATTTGCATATTATTAATTCGATTAGAGGGTTGGAGGGTTATTAGCATATCCAAGAGTGCATTTTATGATTGGACTCCTACAGATTTTTAGATAACCATTTATCTAGACTTACACTCAAATAAAACCGAATACATGAGATAAGTTTCCCCTTCCATCTCTAAAACAAAACTTTGTTGTCAGGTTGAGAGCAAATTGAATGGCTTTTTTTTTTTTTTTTTTTTAAATATGAGGTAATTATAGTCCAATAGAAACATTGGTGCCCCTTTTTAATTATTATTTGTTATATGGGGTACTGGGGGATTCAAATCTAATTCTTTGAATAAAAAGATATATACGATGAGTTGTTCGATACATGATAATAAGCATTAGCAACAAAATCAAATATTTTATCAACAGAAAATTTCATCAGTAATATCTATTTTCTTGTAGTGATTGTAAGTGTAACAAATAAGATAGATCTTTATGTCCGTGATTATAGCAATTTCTTGTAATATTTTAAGCAACATTGACCTTTAAGCTGTGGCCATGGAAGCCATTGCTTAATTCTTAAATGTTAGTAGGTAAACATCATATATATCAATTCAGCAAAGGGTAGATCTTAATGTGACGGCTTAGTGCATGTGTCACGGGCTCCGGTTCTGCTCAAGGCGTCATATGAACTAGCCCACCGTTCATAAAAGCTGCTGATTTATAGGTAGATCAACCGACTATAGGTTATTTCATTTAAATCTTTTGATTAGATTTGCAGATGCCTTTCACCAACTTTGGCATCATGGGTTTATATTTCTATGATATTTTATATATTAATCCAATCCAAACATATTTTATAAGATGGTCAATAGATTTTATAATTAAATTACAAGCTTGCATATGTATTATGAGTATTACTTAGGGGTGTAATCGATCAAGTTTGAGTTGATACAATATTAAGCTTGATTTCGATTTAAAATTTGAGACTTGAAACTTGACTCGAATTCAATCAAATTTTATTTTTTGAGCTCGAGCTCGACTCAAGATACAAATTAAGCGACTTAAGCTCACTCGATTAGGTTCGATTAACATATAAAAATAAATTCGATTTTTATATTTGATAAAAATTCAATTATTTGTATTCGAGTTCAAGTTTGAGTTCAAAATATTTTATTAATTAAAATAATAAAAATATATTAAAATATAAAAACTCAATTAAACTAACGAGCTGCTCAAACTGGGTGTAAGAATATTTGAACTCAACTCGATTAATAAATTGAGCTATTTGAGTTCAAGCTCGACTCGATAATAATTAAGCTGAATTCGAGTTGAATCCGAATAACTTACGAATACTAATACATCATTTATATCCCTAGTATTACTTATGTTTTTAAGAAGACACTCGAATGTTGATACTCTATTTTGAAAGTTTTGATTTTCAAATCTTGAAATAAAAGAGATTAGGGATGTTGAAAAGATTATTTCCTATTCTATAGGTACATTTTAATGTATCTTTTATATTAAAAACGATTTTGAGTGATTATACATGGATAACTTTTTTTTTTTTTAATCTTTTGATTTCAATAAAAAAACAAAACAAGACAACAAGAGAAAAGTGAATAGTTAACCATAAAAACGGCATCGTAAAGATTCAAATTTTAATTTAATTAGTTTATATAATTATTTTTAAGAGATGATATTTAACAAATTTAAAATTTAAAATTTAATAATTATAATATCTTCTCTTATTTTTAAACTGCACCTTTTTTTAAGAAAAATATATTTAAAAGGGGTGGCTAATGAATAAATAATACTATTCCCTTCTTAAATTTTTTTTTGTTGGGATTTATCTACCAAAAATCAAAGGTGCCAACTAATTTAATTGGTAATATCGATCTTTGTAGTTGTACCAAAAACCTATAAGCCATTTGTATAATTTACATAAACTAAAGTTATTATTTTAAATTTCTTTCTCCCCACATTTGGATTCCAACCATTTAGCACATTTTGGACTCCAAAAAAACCCTTCAAATTGGTACTATGCATAAGATAATAGCATGTATCTGACTTCTAGAAATGTTTCAAATTTAGATTTCTCCTCTACTCTCTCTCTCAAGAAAAAAAAAAGTATAAACATTTGTTGATATTATGCAATTTAACTGTACAGTGTACATTAAATATAAAAGATGTGAGTATATGATAATTTTTTATTCATCATTAATTTTAGGAAATATATAATCAACTATATACAAATGTGCCAGAACTATACGTAAATTATACAAATTAAAAGCTCAATTGGACATTCCATTAAAAAAAAAAAAAAAACTCAATAGGACATTATAATAATTAGAACTTGAGATTCCAACTTAGAGATTTTGTATTTTTAAATTTTGAAATGAAAAGATGGTACTGTTTTTCTTATTATTATTTTTTTGTCAGAGACGAAACACGTCATTTGATAAAATCATATGCAAATTTTTTTTTTTATAATATAGTTTGAGATCTAATAAAAGTTTGAATGTACATATATGCTTATGTGTGTATATATATATATATATATACACACATGCTTACGTACTCATATAATTATTTAAAACTACGTATGCAAAACATTGATAAAGAATAGCATGAGAATTAGGAATTCTTAGTTCTTATTATATTGATATAAAGTGCATGAGAGTTAATAATCATAACAAACACTGTCTATGTGGTTATTGGAGCATGACAGTTGAATTTATATTCATAATCAAACCTATTTAAAGACTTTCATAACAAATATCCTTTCTACTCAATCAATGCAAACCATTTGAGCACTGTGGCTTAAATAGCATATTTTTTCTAGTTTTTTTTCTTTAAATTTTTTTTGTTAATCATGACGTTATTATTACAGAAAATTACCTCATCAATAAAAATTTTAAACTCAATGAACGAGATTGGAATATTGACACATACTCCCTAAATTATATATAAATAAAAATTAATATAATAAAAAAACGACACATGGCAATATTTTTAACCATGCTTGAAATACCACCAACCATATATAACATAATAATCCTGTTATTAATATCACTACCAGAAATTCAAGCTTTAACAATAGAATTTTTTGTTGGTAAAGACTTAAAATTCATCAGCAATAGTAATTGCGACGGTTTTAGAGATAAAAAAATTCCATCAATGTTAGTTATATCAATAACGTTTCAAATTCATAGGTAATTATTAATGAATTTATTAGTAACAGTATTACTTATAGAATTTTCTATTGGTGATTAGTTATAGAATTTTCTGTTAGTAAAATCGTTGATAAATTTATCGATAAAAGATTTTTTTTCGTCCGTCAACAAATCCATTGGTAATAATAAAAATTTCATCGGTAAATTTGTTGGTAATAATATTTTTAAATCATATTTAACTATTATTTTATAAAATTTTAAATTATTTTATTATATTTTAAAATTATTTTTAAAGTAATTATATGAATGCCAAAATATACATAAATAAAAGAAATAAATAAATAAAACATTCCGTTTCATTTGTAAAAAAAGATAATACTATTTTACAAAATTATTACAAATTATAATTACAAAAATATAAAGAACAAAAACCCTATTCTATTACGGTTTACACCATAATATTAAAAATGAAATAAAATTTTTACAAGACTACAATAAAACACAGTCTATCAAGCATTATTTTATACATGTCATAAAAAACTTTTATCTTGAATGCTCAAAATAATGAAAAGAAATAAAAATAAAATACAACTGTGACGCAACCTAATTTACCTCTTTCATTTGATGAAAAATATGGATTCTATCTTCATTACCTCTACCCATAATAAATGATGACATGCAAATGCATAAACAAAGAAAAAAAGAAAAGAATGTTAGATGCATACAAAAATTAAGTGCTCGATGGAAAGTAAAATGGAACATAAAAATTCCACATATAAACAATAACTAAAAACATTGGTGGTATCTCATGTATCTTTAATAGCAAGTACACTACGATCATGTGTCTATGTGTCTATATATAAAAATTAAAAAAACTTTAAAATTATAATTTAGAAATTTTATTTATTTTGCATTATAATATATTATCTAGCTTTTAAAATTTTAATTTTAATTAGTTTATTTTAAATTATAAAACTAGATAAAATATAAAAATAAGTTATATTTGAAATAAAAAAAACTTATTAAAATATAAAATTTATTTCTTTAAACTATAAATTTTGATAACATATATTAAAGCTATATTATATTTTAAAAAATAAAAACACCATTTAAATATAAATTTTTTATATTTATTCTTTTTAAATTATAAAACTAGATAAAATATACAAATACGTTATATCTAAAAAATTTTTAAAAAAATCCTTAAAATTGGAAAATTTTTGAATTTTTATTTTGAACTATAAATTTTAATAAAATATATTAAACTATATTATATATAAAAATAAAAAAATTATTCAAAAATAAAATTTTAAAATATTTTATTTTAAATTATAATATTTGAAAAAATATTAAAATATATATTATAATGTGAAAATTATAAAAAACTTATTAAAAAATAAAAATTTAAAACTTATTTATTCGAATTATAATATTTTTAAATATATTAAAATTTATATTATGTTTAAAAAATAAAAAATAACATATTTTCATTTATTTTTTATTTTCAAAAATAATAAATTAAAAATGGCATTTTATTTTTTTTCTTTTTTTTTTCTCCTTTAGCTATCACATTAATCATGCAATCATTTTTTTTGTCAAAGTCACATCAAACACTTAATTGTGAAATTAACTATTAAATTGAGGGAAGGACCAATTTGTATGATATTTGAGAAACAGGAACTAACAAATTATGTTTTAAAGTTTAGGGATCAAAACATATGCGTCTCAAATTTTGGGGACTATAGATGCTATTTACTCTAATATTCTATTTGTCCCTTGATTTTTATTCCTCTTATTGCAGCTTCAAAAATCTCCAATTGAAATAGACCTGCTAAGGGCATTTTATGGTTCAAGAAGGCATAATGTTCTTTTTCAGCAAGAGAATGACTCATTATTAAGCCAAGGTCATTTCAGTCGTTAGGTTTGAGCTGGCAGATGGACCTAATTTCTTAGAGTTCATGTCAGCTGAGCTAGCACAACGTACATCTCCCTTGATAACATTTGAGCATGTTGACTTGTTATTCATCTGTCGAATATTCCCCTATTATGTCAGGTCAAGTTGGTCCGTCAACCCTAAATTCGACTCTCAGAGTTCGATTAGTCAATTCCAGACACTTCATCCTCTCTCATTCCAAGTATAAGACTCCCCATTTTTCTAGATATGAGTATCCCCACTCCCCAATTTTTTCTCTCTTTGTCAAGTATTGTTTTGAGTATCGAAATGCAAACGCTAGAGAACTTTGACCTTAACTGATCTCCAATCATGATTTTAGATTTTACCCTTCTCATCGAGCTTCGCACCAACAAAACCTATCTCCAAATATATATGGCCATGCCTAATTAAGAGAAAAAAAAAAAAAAAAAGCAGGCGCAAATCAAAATAAAACGTCAACAATACAGCTAAGGAACAGTCCATGTTCACTTAGCCAACTAGCTAAGCAAGGGCATGAACTACAACATAGTCAACTTATCTTTGTGGCTGTGGGTCTCCCCTTTTTCCACTTCATTTGATTACTACTGTCTCATTTTAAGGATTTTTAAAGTTAATTTCAGTTCGGGTCTTATTGTATTTAAAATTTTTAAGTTTTTAGGTTTGAATATGATGTAGGTGCGTGTGAAGCACTATGAACTAAATTTAGGGTTCTTCATATATAAGATTTTTCTTCTTTTCTTTTTACTTTCTCTTACTTGATTCTTTTGTTAATTTCTTATAACTAAACAACAAAAATAATAAAAGAAGACCCTTAAAACAAGGCTTGTTATGAACTCTTTCTTATCTGATATATCATATATATATATATATATAGTATTATAGAGAAAGAGAGAAGAAAGGAATATAAAAAAGAAAGAAAAGGTTAAAAATTCTTAAACAAGCTTGACACAAGGAATAAAGTGGAAGGTTAACAGGGTAAGATTTGGAACGTTGTTGTCTGGTTTTATTAGTTCATCAAGAACCTGAAAAAGGGTTTTCTTCCATTGACTTTGACATCCTCAGAGTTTTGTTTTTTGTTTTTTTTTTTACAGAATTGTGGGTAAATATGATTGTTCACAGCTCTTTAAAAATGACTCAAAAAAAGGTAGGAAAACCCAATCCCAACACACAAAAAAAAAAAGTTTCAGTATTTAAAATTAAAATTTTAGAACTCTATCAATAAATTATGTGACTGTCGTCAAGTTTAGCAACTTTAAATATAGTTGAGATTTGGATTAAGGAATATAATCCTCTTGTTTAATTAGCTTTTAGAAAAGAGATGAAAAGCGTAGGGATTTAACTGGTGAAAGCCATGCAATGTGAAGCTAACTTGACTAAGCAGAAACAGACAGTTTTCACGTGGAAAGATTCATTTTTCTTTGATCAGAAGATGAGTTGGTATTTGGTGAAACCAAATCCAACAAATTTCCGTTAAAACAGTGAGGGAAGAGATCTGGTTAGCTAGGAGTATTCAAGGCTCTAGCATGGAATCCAATGTCAAACAGATAAGAGTATTTAAGTCTCCAACATAAACTTGTTTTAACCAATTTCTTTTGTTAATAAAGGAAAGTACAATTTAATAAGAATATTTTTTATTGTAATTGTCTAATCGCTACCATATATATTTAGGTAAGGTCAATTACCACAAGATATCCTTTCTTTATTTATTTATTTTTTACTATGGGTAGGATCCCAATTATGGAAAAATTAAATTTTAAAACTTGGATATAAATTTCCACCTACTAAGAGTATGTTATTAAGGCCTGCTCGGATATATCATATGATAATAATTTGAGAATTATAATATATGGTTATTACTCATTAAAATGCATAAATATTTTACTGGCAATCGCCTAATTTGTCAGAAAAGAGTTAGATTTGTAATTTTAGTAATAACAATTTAAAGTTTAACAATTTTTAAATAAAAAAATATAATAAAAAATACATCTATGTAGTGAAATATACTAGGTAAAATAAAATGTAGAGGATAATCATTATCCCTACTCTTTTACTTTTTTTTTCTTCTCATTTTATTTTATAAGGAAACTTTGTGTCCTATAATATGTAATTAAAATTTTCAATTTTCATAATGAGAAATTTACAATTTGTGATTTTATTTTATTTTATTTTTTTGGATATGGGTGAAAGGGGCTAATCCAGTTTCTTAAGTTCTGAAACATATATACATTTATCATTGAATCAAATATTTCAGTATTATAATTATGTAATTTTAAGCATTAACAATGAAAGTAAAGAATAGGTATACATCTATATGTGCTAAAAATATATATATTTGTAAAGGCTTTATATAAACATTTGAGATTATTAAATGTTATTTTCATTAATTATAGTAAAATTTCATCATTATAGCAAATTATTTACCATAGAATAATTCGTTATCAATCCACAATTTTTTTTTTTTTTTTTACTGACGGTTTAAGTTACATAACTAATAAAACTAGCAAGTTCCTCCTTCAGCTTTATTTGTCATTGTTAAAAATAAATTTATATAATATAAATTAAGAAAGTTGAGGAGTGTGACGGACACGCTCGTTGAAAGAGAGTGGGTGAGTACGGCAGACAAAATAGCTATAACCTTTTGTCTTCGACGGAAGTTTTACGTCCCACGTATTAGAAGTGAAATTCACCAAAGTGAATATATAAATATATATATATATGGGGATTTATTCTCTGTTTTCCATCTCAAAGTAGCGATATAAAAATTGACACGTGTCACGTAAGGACAATTTATAAGGTTGTTGGAAAATATACCTCTTGGGTTATTTATTATTATTATTTTTTGGACATTGTGGGTATATTAAACAGCCTAAAAAGGAACAAAATTAATTTTAATATTATATTTTCACAAATTGACTGTTAAATTTTATATGAAGAAGGAAGTTAAATTTTATATAGTTTCTTTATAATTTCCTGCATAATTATTATTTTTACAAAGTGGCTGTTAAATATAAAAAAATACTAAAAAGTTGTAAAACTAATTTAATTTTAAACGGCGTTATAAATTTCATGTTATTTCATAATTTATGATTTCTAGAATTGAAAAATCACTTTCTTAGCATTTTCAATTATATATATTTTTAAAATGAGAAGATAAAAAATAATTATGAAATTAAATATGGTGAAAGTCAAAAGTAATTTTTTTATCACCCTCTATTAAATTATTAAAATGATGAAACTTTAAGGTTGATTTTAATAATAAGTGGTCATGGATTTTTGTTTTTTTTTTTTTAACAGTATCTTCTAGTGAATGAAGCACGTAAGTCCATGCATTTTAATCTGACTGTCGAAGTAATTTATATATCTTTTAATTTTTCATGCTATTAAACCCATTAATATATTAATATAAACATTATTTAATTCTGTGTTAAATATATAAACACATATAGTGAAAATTAATAAAAATATTAATTTCAACTACTCTAGTGAAAAGTTCTCTTTCATAAATTCTCTGTGACCAAATCTTTGGATAGTCATTTATCAATTGTTTCATAAAATTAAAAGATAAAAAAAAAATTGTTCAACCGTAGAATAAAATGTAAATCTTTAAATGTTCATGAAGCAAAAATCAATAAATTCATGTTGATAATTGGTTAGAATAAATAATATTAAATCTACCGATATTCTTACACTTCCAAATAAATTCTTCAAAGAAAATTTATTATTATTGCTAAAAAAGTTAAGAAATAATAAAAAAAAAACTAACTAAAAGTTAAAATGAAAGATTCCTAACCCTCAGGTATAAAAAACAAAATATTTCTAACCCAAAAATTAACAGCTCCAAAAAATATTAAACCTGAAAAAGTAAAATATTAATGGAAATCAGTTTCTATAAAAAGCCAAAGCAAAATCTTCTATTTCCGCATAGCTACACAAACAAACAGCTAAAAGAAATGAAGTAAAAAAAGCCTAAAAAAGCAACCCACCCAACTCATCGAACCAGCTTAAACAGAAAGTTTTCACAAAAAAAGATAGGCAAATTCAATATTATTATTATTATTCCTTTTGATCTTGAAAACAAACCTTCCAAATTCAACAGTAATTCCTTCATCAGAGAATATAAAAGAATCCATCACCCCCCACTCCCTCAGCCTTTCTCTTTCTTTCCCTTACACGTCTTCTTTTCTCTTTGCTTGACTTCGAATCCACATTTTCTGGTTTGATTTTCAGCAAACCAGAAAATCCAATTTCTTCTGGCTTCATTTCTGGGTCGGGGTCGGTTCTAGTTTTTTTAAAGAATGTCTACAGATCTTGAATTGTTCCAAGATTTGGACAAAATAAAATTACCCAAACTCAAGATTCAATCTTCCAATGAAAATGGTGTCGAGATTCAAGAGGAAAACAAGAATCAAGATGAGTGTTCAACGCCAAACTCGGAAGAAAACAAGATCCCTGTAGTTTCGTCATGTCCGCCTGCACCAAGGAAACCTAGGAAGAGAGCTGTTTCATGCAAAAGAAAGCTGTCTGAACTTCAGTTCTTCGAGATCGTGAACAGGGAAGAAGTTGATGCTTTTTTCAAAGCTGGTTTTGATGGTTCTATCTCTAAAAGAAGGTGGTCATGTACATGAAAATATCAGCTTTTTGCAAGCTTCTTTTTTTTTTTTTTTTTTTCTGGGGTTCTGTTAGTTTCTTTCTCTTTCTTTTTGGTTTTACACATATATAAATATTTCTTTTGTATGTAACTGAATTGAAATTTCATGCAAATCTGCCACTAGGATTCAGAAGGCTTATATAAGACCGTAATTTTCAGACAGATTTTTGGATCCGATCTATACATGTTAAATCTTTTCATTTGCATGATTTGTTTCCACTTTAATTTTTCCAGATCCTATATTGCATTTGATATTTTTCTTTTCAAATTTGAATCCAAATTCTTGATGTTCATTTCCATTTCCATCTCTCTCTCTCTCTCTCTCTCTCTCTCTCTCTCTGCACAGATACCATGAACTTCAAAAAAATTTTATTTTTTTATAAAAAAATCACAGCGTGAAAATAGGGAAAATTACAAGTGTTCAAAAAATTTTAAATTTGTTGTTGAGATAGGCGTAGGTGAGATGGGTTGGTTGTTTCAGTTTGAAAAAAAAAGGTTGTTGTTTCAGTTTGAAAAAAAAAAGGTTTAGTGGTAAGCTTCTAATGAATAATTGTTATTAGTATTTTATTAGTCGGTTTTAAATGGTTGATTTTTCTCGCATTTTAGGAATATTTTTTGGTTGTTTGACATGTGGGAAACTTTGTGGGTGATTTACAAGGCTTTGGGATTTGCCAAAACACAGATTTGAATTTCTCGGAGATGATTTTCCTCGAGAAAGTGAGAGAAAGCGAAAGAGAAAGAGAGAGAAAGCGGCAGAATGGTCCAATGTGCTGTAGCATATGCAATTGTTTTGTCTCATTAGACGAAACGCATTGATTTCATGTTTTTTTTTTATTTTTTAAATGATTAAGTTTTTTTTTTTTTTTTTTAATGGAGCATTGATTTCACGTTGGGACAAAAATTTCTGCGTTTCTTAGGATTTTACTGACAATATACTAAGTACTTTTGATTTACGACTTGCCAACCATCAATTGCCAAATTCTTAGCGAAATTAAATTGATTTTCTTTTCTTCCTTAATGACTAGCTATAATCCTTTTTTTTTTTTTTTAATATTAGATAGATTCGAATTTAATTGCTTTAAGGAAAGAGTACATTTATACGTACAAGAGTTAGTTTAGTTGATATAAAAAAAATTTTTAATTTAATTTTTAATTGTGTAAGATTATTTTTAGAATACTAAAATTTTGAATTTACATTAGAGAATGCATTTTTAAATCATCACATGAAAATAATAATAATAAATGTAGATAAAATCTGAAGATATCACTAACAATTTTACTAAAAAAAAGTGCACTTATCATGAAAGGTCAATAATAAAATGATTTTTTTTCATCAATTTCAAATGGATGGTCCAATAGTTAGAGGCTGAGAATTTTAATTTGAAGATGTCAAATTTAATTTGTAATGATTATATGAATATATATCATGCTTTATGATTTAAATCCAATGAATTTTTACATTTTAAAAAACAAAATCTCTAATAATATATCTTTTTATGGTGCATTGGAAAATCTATTGGGTCTTGTGTTACATTAAGAGTAATTTCTCTGATTTCATAAATTTTACTTCTTCTATTTCAATATTTTTTAATTTAATGGTAATAAGTTTTTTAGTTTCATTTAGTACATCATTTTTTTGGGCAGATTTAAGTAAATTTATTTTCGTCGAATCTAAATATTTTATAAAAAATTATCATCTTACAACTTTTCTAGTGGAATTAAATTCAAACAAAGAGAGGAAGTTACTTCTTCTATTTCAATATTCAAACTTGACGTCTCCAAACTAAAATTCTCAAGACTGGGATATCACCTTAAAGGGCCTCTAATCTGTAAGCAACTTTATCTCTCAATATCTGAGCATAAAAATACTGTGACAAATAATTTGTAATATATATTGCTATTTGGATTTAAAATTCATCAATGTGAATCAAATTTTAAATTAGGGAAGCCAACGTTATTTAAGAAGAAAATGGGTTTATCTTATTTATATTTTATAAACCTATTTTTTCAAATAAATAAATGACTTTAAAATTTACTTAGGTATACACAATTTCAATTATTGTGTCTAGTAGGACACAATTTTAGTTCGGCCATTCAGTATGGGTAAAACTTACATAAAGTTTTTTAAGTAAAATTTATAAAATTTCTTCTTAAAAATGATTTAACAAAAAAATTTTAATAAAAAATCCAAATCATCAAATTGAAAGAGTTCAATGTGAAAATTAATAATATATTAAAAATTGTTAAAAATATTGTTTATAATTCAAATTTTATCGATATTTATTCAACGGTAAAAATTTTATCAATATTTTTACTAAAAATATCTATTTAAAATATATATCAAAATTATTAAATTTTTTTCAAAATTTACATGTTGATCTATATAACGAGACATTTTAATCTATCAATTTTGATTTTTTATTTTAATTTTAATTTTATCAATTTTAATATATATATAAAATTTTATGAATTTTATCTAAGAAAATACATTTAAGTTTTTCCCCTTTAGCATTGCTCATTTTATATGTTTATTAAAACAATTAAATGAGTTTATTTTTTAAAAAAGCTAAAAAGAACAAATGTTATCTTCATTTGAAGAAAGTAAAATTTGAAAGCCGCCATAAAAAAGACCATCAACTTCTACAAGGTGAAATTAATGTTTCATTTAAAAAAAAAAAAAGAAATTAATGTTTCACATATATTGTTCCTATAATTAAATATATTTCTGCAATTGTACTTGAAACTAAAAAGTTGTCCTCCTTAACTTTTTTTCCCCTGAATTTCACATTCTCAAACTCATCCCCCATCCCATTTTGATTCAATTAAAACTAATTCAATTTGATAATCCAATTTGATTAGAGATCTTCGATTCCCACCTTGATATTGGAGTGAGATTTAAAAATATATTTATACAGAACTTTTTTCTTTTTTTTTTTTGAAATATTTTATAACTTTAGACTTTATTTGGATTGGTTGCCAATTTTTTCCCCTTTTTTTTTTTTACAAAAAAATTATCTTAGCTTAATTCAAATAATTAACTATAAAATACAAAATTATTCTAATTAATTTTTTTGATAATTTGGGTATTAATCAAACAGCATGAGATTTTTTTGTAGATCATTTTTCTCTCTTCACTGTGAGTTTGAAGGAAAAAAAAATGATTAGTACTTCAGAGGGGAGTTGACGAAGCTTGGGGTCCATGGTTGAGTGAGGAATGCACAATCTAAGTAATAGTGGCTGCAGAAATAATTATTATAAAGAGTTTATATAGTAAACTCATAAGATATACATTTACTCCTATTGTAGTATTATAAAAATAACGAAAGATATATTACATTATCTGAAGATTTATAATGACGAAAACGACTTCTCTACATGCATATTTTTAATATCTTCTTTTCCTTTTCACAAATTCAAAATAAGAAAGATTTCAAAAATCTTTAAAATACGAATAAGATATGCCGTCACCTATAATAATTGCGCATTTAAGATTACTACCAGTGAAATATTCAATGCTCACATGATTCAAACTCTATATCTTAAATATTAAGCCCTACATCTCCACCTAAATTTTCATATTTTTTGGAAAAAAAAAAAAGAAAGTAAAAGAGGATTATTACTTTTACATATGCTGCTATTTAAAGCATAAGAATAAGTATATGAGCTTACATTTGCAATGACATATTCACTTTGATTTTTATATTTTAAAAATAGTTTTAACATATTTGATAATAACAAAAATAAAATAAAAGTTGATAAGATTGAGATCCGTTTCATCGAAGTTCAAGATTAAAACCAATTATTATATAATGTTTGTTGATCCGAGTGGTAAAAAATTTGATTTCTCTTAAGTAAAGTTTCAATTTTGAATATTGTAAATGAAAATAAGTTTGAGAGAATTTGTTTTTTTTATAAGGTTCGATCCGACTCGATTAAATAAGTTTGAGAGAATTTACCTTTCTTATAAGATTTGATTCAATTAAATTTCAGATTAATCGAAGTACAAAATAATTATCCGACACTGAAATTCCAAATCCAAAAAGAAAATAAAAGCATAAAACTCCGTAGGGTTCACCCTAAGAAAGAAAAATTATTTTTGAAAATTGGAATCGTTCAACTATGACATAAGTAGTAGAATAGTGAATGATTATGCCAATTGTTGAAAAAGGGGATGCAAAAGAATTTGGGGTTGGTGGAACCAAATGAGGTCTTATATTATTATAAAAGAAAAGTCTGGATAATTGTATTCTTATGTATATTTTTTTCTTTTATATTAACCATTCAAATTTTAAGGTAGGCTGATCTCATGAATTTGGGTTTGAATATGTTAACATAAAAAAAATAATTTATATAAATTTATTAAGTTTAGCGTAAATAAATAGTGATGAATCTAAATTTTATTTTTGAAATGTTTATTTATAATATAATAAAAAGGAATCCATAAAAATTTTTTTTTTTTGAGATATCGAACTTGCACCGGCACCGTCTCCCATACAAATTCCATTCTTTGTTGCCGAAAGAAATAAACAAAAGAGGAGAAATGGGAAAGAAACTGAGAAAAGAAAAATCAGGAAAAAGTGAAAAGAAAATCCCAACATATTGTACTTGGAAACCGATCCCTTTAGTCTTTCAAGACAAACATTTGTGTCATTCTGTGAAAGTTTGTTCTCACACAAATGATGCTTGTCATAGGAACCCAATTCAATGGAATTCAAGGTTCTACCTCCAGTTAATGCAGGCTTCGAACTTCCAGTGTTTTATTTTTCTTTTTCTTTTTTTTTTTCAACTTTTTCCCCTTTTAAATATGTGAAGATAACTTTTATTAGTATTAGAAAATGGTCTTCATTCCTTGTTTAAAAAAAAATAAAGACCAAATCCGAAATTTAATCATTGATTCATGTGATTATTTTTAAAAATATGATATTTTAATGAATTTGTGATTTAAATCTCATCGTTTGTAGTTTTTTCCCCTTATTTTATATTACATTCTCTTTTGTAAAAAAAAAAGGAGATTTAGTGGTTTTTTTCTTTTATTGAATATTTCATAATTTTGTTTAAACAAAAGGTAAAATTGACATATTTTCAACTTTCAGTAGAAACTGTTGTAATATGATTTAGTTGCACACGTATTTTCTTCTAATACTGTTTTAATTAATCTACTGAATTTGATCCTCATAGTGATATAGTCTAATCGTAACAGTAAATGAGTAATAGATGAATTTTCAGAACAAAGAAGAATAGAGAAGGAGAGAGAAAATACCATTGGATTCAATTCACAAAAATTATCTGACATACAACGAATTGCACCAGCCTACACATTCTAACCGACCCGACATCAGCATAACTGTTATTTATTGGATGGGACCTTCTAAAGATCTAACAGTCCGCTAAAGCCCACTTAACCAGCAGCGCTACTAATGCCTGTGACAGAGTACACCTTCCCTGAGCAATTCGTATAGAGCCTCCCAAGTTGCATCTTCTGGAAAACTGTTGCTCCACTGAACATGTACTTCGGTAACAAGTCTTCTTTTCTTCTTGTTCATCCTCTTGTCTAAGATTGAAGTAGGTTCCTTAGCTAAAATACCATCTAAATCCAACATTGGCAAAGTGGATTGAATTTTCCAACATATTTCTTTAACTGAGAAACATGGAACACTGGGTGTATAGGAGCACCACCAGGCAATTCCAACTCATAAGCCACGGCTCCCACCTTATCAAGCACCTTATAAGGGCAAAAAAACTTAGCACTAAGCTTCATACACTTTCTGTTCACCAT